ATCCGAACCGGGGCCCTCTTGCATCCCAAGCCAGCTCTTAACCACCACGCTACTCGGCCATCCCCTGTAATTGCAATATTTAAATATAAGTTAATTCTTCCTTAGTAAGAATCATCTATATGATTACCTGTGACAGTATTTTTTTTAATACTCTAAATTCAAAAATGGGTTTTGCATCCTTTGAACATGTGTGAAGGCTACTGGTTTTGCACAAGGGCAATTATCTTTTTTTTTAATACAAATATCTGAAAGCACGGGAGATTCACATAATTCAAGGGAGATAAAAACCATATCAACAAACAATAACAAAAGTTTGCAGTATGTTTGCATAAGGCAAATAGTATGGAAATAGCTAAGCCAAACTTTTACATTAGCGGAGAACAATGTCTATATATTTGCTGAAAAAAATGTACAGAAATGCACAGAGTTGCCAGACAACACATGGCATCGCCATATTGTTGTCAGAGGTTGAGGTACGGCCTTGTAGGGAGTTTGCTCGCCGGCTATGACTTTACTATTTCCCTGTGATATAGTTGTTGTTCTGTGGTTATTGTTCTATTCGGTACACTGGTATTTGCATTTACATTACAGACCACAGTGTGACAAATGCTTCTTATTAGTGAAACGTCTATGCTGGTTCCTCATTGCTCTGCAGCTTGCTTCAAGATTATGAGAAAGTTTAAGCTCTGACACGGACATACCTTGACATATGTATACACCCTTCTTCCTTTGTGTTTACTTGTTAAGATTGTTTATGAAACTGATGCCCGAGAGAGAGGACATCCTAAATACTGTAGAAGCACAATGAACTTGGGAAGGGTGATAGATGGCTAGGCTCTTAAAAGCGACTCTCCTGCCGATATGCCTCAGTTTGCTGCCAGTCACAGAGCTATGCTTCCCTTTCAGACAGGCTAGCCGCTAGCCTATAGAATATGGAGATGTTATACCTGGTGGGTCAGTTTGTTCAATCAGAGTATTATGGATCCTTGACATGTTTGGACAAACAGCAAGTGACCTCGAGTGTGTGTTGCTTTGGGACAGATATGAATCCCTTGGGCTGTGTGGATTGTGTGAGGGACGTTTTGCTCACTCCCTGGTGGATCAGCTTAGCAGACGGTCCTGACTTTGCAACTGAGCATGGCCCTGCCACTCACGTCTGTCATTACAGTGACACATGGAAAAGATGTGCTTAATGGTTTTCTCAGGTGTTAGCATTTATGAAGCTCTTCTGTCCTATTGCTTGTGAAGGTCAAGGGTCCAACACTGTAACATTTTCTCTACTCTCATAATTCCAACAATGTTTTTCAATAGGTGGATTACAGGTACATCGAAATTGTTGATGGATTGTGATGTTGCTGCTTTCTAGTTGGTGGTTAAGAATTTTTCTTCCTCCCTCCTTTCCTCCATCCTTTCTTCCTCCTTCCCTCCATTCTTCACTCCATCCTTTCTTTTGTTTAATGGGCTCTTGATCTCAAACCTGTGGTTTTGTGTTTTTTTTTTATACGTAGAGGAGGGAAGACTTTTATTTTATTTTATTTTTTTTTAAGATTTTTATTGGGGAATTCGGGGATGGGAACAGTGCTGGAGAATCGGGGGAAGGGGAACAGACAAGTTGCTGTCCTTTTTTGTTCTTCAGTCTAGTTGTGGAGGACGTTGCTTCGCTGGCCCAAGTTGGAACCATCATTGCGCTCTTCCCGGGTGAGGCAGATCAGTCGCCAGCTTCTGGCCGCTCACTGCAGCTGCTGGCCGCTCACGCTGGCTGCTGGCTACACACGGTAGCCCATGGCAACCCACTGCCACAGGGGCTGCAGCCTATGCCGTCACCGGCGACTCTCGGCAGCCCAGCTCCAGGTTGAGCTGTTGTTCAGCATCTTAGCTGTAGAGGGCAGTGTCACTGGCCCTCATAAGTGGGATCCGAACCGGGACCCTCTGGCGTCCCAAGCCAGTTCTTAACCATCGCGCCACTCGGCCGGCCCTCAAACCTGTGGTTTTATGTTCCACGGAATCTTTTATTATCAGTCCCCTCCCTCTTTCGAGGCAGCATTTCCTCTATGCTTTAATCAATCTTCAGCATATATATTTCATTTTAAAGAGTCATGAATATTCTTTTACACTAGTTCAGTATTTTCACCTCTTTCTTGTCTGGTGCTTACCTTGGCTTCTATTTTCATGGCCATATTTAACTGCAGCAGAGTTATCTGTGTTATAACAATATAACAATAGTCAGAAAGACCTGAGCTAAAAATCAGCTCTGAAAACGACTAGCTGTGTTGGCACACACTTAAAACGGGGGGGGGGGGGTTAATCATACCTATGTCACCAGTTTATTGTACATAACAAAAAAAATAATGTATCCCAGTGCTCCCCCCAAACCAGGCATCAGTAACAATGGACAAATGTTAGACTCACTTCCACGAGGCAGGGACCCCTGAGTCTCCTGTTCACAGCAGCTCACACAGTGCCTGGCACACAGTCAGTACTCAGGGAATACATGTCGGCTCTCGCCATGGTCTTATGCTGCTATAGCCCTCATCTCGGTGATTTGAAAATTAGACATAAACAGTGTGCATGTAAAATACAAAAAAAGGGTCTGACACCAAGTAGATGATGTGGCTAGAACGCTATTTTTAGAGATGCAGCGTCAGGCAAGTGATTGGCAAGTGTACTTGGGAAAACATCTTCAGAAATGCTAAAGGTCTTTTGTTTTGTCCTTCTCAGGCATCCTGTTTTCACTGGTGGTGATGCTGTATGTCATCTGGGTCCAGGCAGTGGCTGACATGGAAAGCTACAAAAACATGAAAATGAGAGACTGCTCGGATTTCACTCCTTCTGTTCTGTATGGCTGGTCATTTTTCGTGGCCCCAGTGGGGATATTTTTTTCTTTGCTTGCTGGATTACTATTTCTAGTTGTTGGACATCACATTCAGACACATCACTAATCAAACTGTTGCCACCAGTGTTTTCTTGAGAGATTTTAAAACACCATATTTTTAAATTTTCATTTTGTGTTAGTGATCCCAGCATAAAATTAGTTAATGATATGTTTTAGTTGCTATTTGAATTAACCATTTTCCTTGTGATTTCCCCTGATAAGAAGGTTCTATAATCTCTCCAGACACCAACGTGTTTCCATCTTAGCTAAGTGCTATCAGGAACCTAGTTCTTTGGGGAGCAGGTAACATGGGCCTCCATTTCATTGCACTGGTTAGAGTTCATGCAGGTCGCAAATATATATAAAGGTATTATAACATAATACTACCATCAACCGGGGCAAATCAAGATTTGATTTAAAGCCGCCTTCTTGGCATTTACTTCTGTTGCTACTTAAAAAAAAAAAATCTTTGGAGAATAATTAAGAACGGGAAACAAATGTCAGAATTTACTCCATTCTTCTCTGCACACATACATAAACACATGCACATTCACTGACTCCTGTGAGCAAGTTATTCATTATCTACAACTAGACAGCAGTTGTGTTCTGGTAGCGGGAGCCAGGCACACTTGTCAGTTAAAATGGGCCACAAGAACCGAGAACGTGGACTTTTTCCACTTTCTTACCACTTGGTTACCTAATTTGATTCACTCAATTGCGCATACTTACATAAACCTTAAACTATGTTTAAAAGTAACAAATCTGTGCACCAAATTACATATAATGCAGATTGGATTTTTAAGAACTTAAAGTGGGTTAATTGTCTACTTAATACGGTTGAAAATATGTAAAAAACAAGAACCTTAGCTTAGTACATAACTCTATTTTAGAATTCCCATTTAAAATTGTATTGCTAATACGTTCAACATGTGAAAATTTATTGATGAAGTATGCATTTAATATGTACAAAAATACTTCCATATGAGCCTTTCTTTATTAAAGACTATGAAATGTCAACTTTTCCTGAGATTTTATGGGCTGTAGTTCTTCTGATCATTTGATTCCCTTAATTATTGTCCATCGATTTCTTCGTTTTTACAACAGGTATATTAACATTTATAGGCGTGCTATTTCCTTTAACTTCTTGGAAGACAACTTTTGCTTTTTGCTGGGGGGAGGGGAGGGGTGGAATAATTCTGTATTATTTACTAGCACAGATATTTTGCATATCAAAGATGTTTGTCTGGCACCAGTTTTGATTGAAATCAAATCCATCTGAGATGCCAAAGTCCTATTTGCATTTTGGAAACCTCCACCCTAAGGAGTTTGTGTTAGTGAAGGAACAGAGTACAACATGGCTGTGAGCTTTGTTCCAGGGGCAGCTGCTGTGAAGGTGAGGGCAGGACTCAGAGGCAACTGAGGGGTGGTCACCTAGAAGATGCTGTGGCCAGAGAGACTGCTGCTGTCCATCCAGCTGTTTCCGTGATGGAGAGAGTGCTCGAGTCTTCTCTACATGTCTCCTACTTTCCATCAAACCTTGTTTCAGTGGGAGGGGTTTCTGGAGGACGAGCACAGGTCTGAGGCATCCACAGACTCCTGAGGAGCACTTTAGTGTTTAGGGATTTGCATGCAATAAAAACACAAAACAAAACCAAAAAACTAAGCTTCAGGGGTGTAACTGGTTTCTCAAGCCATTTCAGTTCTATCCTAAATGATTTTTGTGGTACTTTCCTTAGTCTTTTTCTGTTTCATTTTTATATTGTGTTCCTTTATCTCTTTGCTTTTGGCTTGATTATTAGAAAAATAATTATGGGTTCTGTTATGCATATTGACTCTGATATTAAATTATGGCACACCATTAAGTTTTCCAGACGATGCTAGATGTATTTGATTAGCTCATGTCATCTGTAAATACAATTCCTTTTTGTAGAACTTTGGAATGGAGCCTTTTCTTGGTGTATTATATGTCATTTCAATTTCACATACAAGCTGCTTTCAGTAAAGGTTTGAATATTTATAAATTTCAGATGGTTATCCTCACTTTCTAATGCACTTACGCGGCTACCATATATTTATCATAAGGCAGTTGGCTGAATATCTGATATGTGTGACACTTTTACACAGACCCACACTTTGGACGGATTTTGTGGTTGTAATGCATCAGTCACATTAATTCCAACGCATTTCCTGATCTACTTACCAGCAGTCCACGGGAGGAAGGAAGGTAAGTTGTGTTTGCTGTCAGTGCATAAAATATCCTTAAAAATAGCAGATATATACAGCATATTCTTGTAACAGTCTTCCATCTGATTTGGGACAGCGTGTTTCCTGTTATTTCTCTATTCAGTGTATTGATTAATTTTCAGAAGCTTCCCAACAACATGTTTAAATCTTAAGAGTGTTGATTTCATTTCATAAAGTTTCACTTTGACAAAGAAGATATTTTTTGGTGACCATTCTAGAAAATGTGAAAGCAGAGGGCAGGGACTCATGCCCTTGGACTGGGGTGGAAGCTGCACTCTCTCCATGTTCTTTGCGCAGTGGGTTTAGTTCCGTCAGGCAGCAGGTAGCGCGTGCACTGAACTGGCTGGAAAACCACGCAGCCCAGCTGGCTGATGGTGTTCGGTTTGGGGCATGAGGGTAGGACTTAAAAGAATACTAGTGTAGTAGGTATGCTCTTACTGGTCATTCAGTCACTTTTACGACTAATCTATGAAATGTATTTATTGAATTTGAAGATTAAATCCACTTATAAGGGTATATGGTGGAAGAAGTGTCAATATTTGGTAATTTATCTATCTATCTATCTATCTGTCTGCCTACCTTCCTACCTACCTATCTATCTGTGATCAACATGTGTGGAGTGTGTGTGTGTGTGTGTGTGTGTGTGTGTGTGTGTGTGTGTGTGTGTCACAATTATAAGTTTGGGTAGAAAAATATAAAGTGAGTGATGGGAATCAATATATTTGAGATAAGCAAATTTTTAAAATCAGCTTCTCTTGGGGGACCGTAATCTAGCTGTGTTTCCCTGAGTGCCACTTCAACTGTTTGACTCGATCATGGTCTATTGAGTTCAACACATAATTTGATTTATATTTTCATGAAGGTAACCAAATTAGGCTTCCAGAGAGACTTAGAATGTCAGAAGGCATAGGTAGATATAGGAAGCTGGTGAAAATAAGTCGGGCATAGGTCTGCCTGTGCGTAGCATGGTAGAGAAGACCTACAATGCTGGGGTTATGTGAAAAGAGATATATTAATGAGTAAGAGGATGGGTCACCAATTTGATTTTGAGGGGCCTCCACCGGGAATTGGGGGCCCATACAAAAGAGATGAAATAAAACCTAAATTTTTATCGATTGTCTAAAGGAATTAAATATATTATTTCCTCAGTGGTGATCAATATAGGTAGAAATATTCCAACAAAAACTTACAAAGACAGTATATTGGATGTGTTAAAACCCAAGGAGGGTAGGAAATGTTTAACATCAGATTTACTATAGTAAGCATTAACTAAGCAAAGAGACATTTAACCTGGTTAGCAAGGAAAGAGGAAAGAAAGAAAAACATCCTGTTAGACCTCAGACTTTCTAGACTAGCCAACCAAGGCAAGTACCAATAGCTCTGTCTTCAGGATATTATGATCAGCCTGGACCAGCCTGTGGGCTGGGAGGTACTAGAGAGAACAAGGCTGAAATAACAGTGGAGAGGTACTAAGAGGCACTCTGACTTTTGAAGGGTCATTTTTCTCATAATATGTAGCTAGGACAGTGAAAAGTTGAAGGGCGCAATTGGACAGTTGAACTTTGTAAAATGATCCTCTGGATACAAAGAATCATATGGTATGCCTAATAATTCTATTTTGCATATATGTATACATGTGTAATATATGTAAGATATCTATAAGTAAGTAAATTAGAATGATTTTGAATTCTTCAAGTAGTGATGATTTTTCTGGTTCTCACAAATGACAGGGATGGTCTAAATTTGCTTTATGAAATAAGTGTGGTTGGTGTAACTGATCCTGAGTATTAAGTAGATGATTTAGTGGGGAGAGGACTCACTGGGATAAAATAGTACACACAGCACAAATTTTAGTATTCTCATTCTTCTGGGAGTCCAGGAGTTATTGTGACATGTCACTGAAAATGTAGATGGTTCCTCCTTTATATGGCAATTCTTTTTCCTTTTTTTAGCATTTTTCTCCCTGCATTCTAAAAAGTGACTGCTGCTGTTAAAACGTTCACCAATTCTTGCAGATAGCATTGACATTGAAAACTATCTGAACAAATAGGTATTTAAGCAATATAGCTTAAAACGAGTGATATGTAAAGAATACTACTTACTTCCTCACATTTTGGTACGGTGTATACAAAGACACTATAAGAAATATCAATACATTGTATTTACCTCCAAAAACGTATAAGAAACCTTTTTTCTCAAGAATTTTATGGGTAAATATCAGAAGAGATGTCAAACAGAAAGTTGGATTAACTCGTGTGTGTGTGTGTGTGTGTGTGTGTACATATTCCTATATACCTATGTATGTTTATACATAGGTACATGTGTGGCATATATGCATATGTATATATGGATTTGAATAAAACTATATATATTAATGTATATTATTGTCAGCAAATGCACATCTGAATACACACGTATATGCATAACGTGTATTTATAAAAATAATTTGCACATCTGTAATATACACACACACACACACGCACACATGAAATGTCTACATTTATATTATATGTACATATCCACATAGCTATCTGTCTTGGGCATACCTGAGCTCCTAAGGTTTGCTGAAAAGGAGGGCGCATTTCATCTTTATGCTATTGTGTGCCTGTCCCAGTGGTGAGTGAGGGGTACAGGGGACACTCAATGACTGTTATCATGTCCTGTCTTTCTTGGATCCAGGGCATATGTGGTGATGCATGTGCAGTGAACCGCCGGTCACATCTTACCCCATGAATGCCCCCTGGTGGTAGCCCTGTCTTTGAGCATCTTCCAGCAACTGACACCTGGCAATTGATAGCTGTTAATGAATATTTATTTAATAGCTATATATTTTGTTGGATAAAAGAATTCCTTTCTAAAGCAGCATGCCTTGGTCAATACATTCATTCCATCCCCCTGCAGAAGACTAAGCCGGCTGGATGCCCCATGAACTCCTCACCTGTAGGGAGGAGGACCCTGTGGTGTGGTGGGAAAGGTGACAAATTGGTACCTGAAGACCTGGATGCCAGTCCTGGACTTTAAACTTATAATTTGACAAGCTATTCCACCTCACTTTGGCTCAGTTTCTTCATCTAAAATATTTACTAGTTTATTCAACAATAGTAATTGTGTCACAAATGGTGCTATATATGGGGTATATATTACCAAAGAAGACAGACATGGTATTTTTATTCTTCAAGGTGGGATTCAAGGAGGACTATAGACAACAAACAGTAAACAAAGAATACTATGAATTTATAAATGGTGATAAATCCTCTAAAGAAAAATACATGAGACAGAATGATTGATAGATAGTCAGGGAAGTTCTTTGTAAGGAGAGAATTCTGAGTATCCTGATATAAAAGATATGAAAAGGGCACCTGGGCAGAAAGTGGCAGTAAGAAATTTTCAGGGAGGAGGACTAGTGGGAGAGAAGGCCTGAAAGTGGAAGAGAGCCTGACATGTTACAGGAAAATCAAGGTGGCTTGTGTGGCTGGACATTGAAGGGAAGAGGTGGGTGATGAAGTAGAAGAAGAAAGAGAGGCCCAATAATTCAGAGCCCTTGAGCCATGACAGTGTGTTTTGAAGGATGTAATTGAAAGAATTTGCTGGTGGAGTGTTTATGGTATGAGGAGAGGGACAATTCAAGAGTCACTCTTAGATTTCCACCTTAAGCAAATGGGTAGACGAAGACTGGAATAGGTTAAGACAGGAAGGGAACAGGCTTGGCGGAAAAGGGAATCCATGCTTTATTTTGATGATGTAATGTTTGAGATGCTTGTGAAATCTCTGCACTGAAAGACTGGTAGACAGTTGGACATGGCAATTAGTAGCTCAGAGGAGCCATCTGAGTTGGGGGCTCACATTTGGAAGTCACCAAATTTAAAGCCGTGGGAGAGATGGAAGCACTGTGGAGGATGGCTAGAGAGAGGAACTCTGCCTGCATCCAACATTTAGAGGATGAGTAGAAGATTGAGCCTGAAGAGAGGCCAAAACAATGTCACGGAAGGATTGATATGAAGTGTGATATGAAGGAAGCCCAGAGGGGAGATGTTATGAGAAGGGACTGAGTTTTGATCTTTTCCAACACTGCCGAGACGATGACTAAGGGAAGGAAAGGTGACCTTTGGTTATGGAAGCTTGGGGGTTGTTTGTGACAATGACAACAGACGTCTTGGCATAGTGTTGGGAACAGAAGCCAAATTTGATTGGCTTGAGGAGTTAATGAGGCAAGCAAGCAGAGAAAGCTTATTGTGCAACTTCTAGAAGAAGACTGCCTTTGAAGGGAGCAAAGCATGATGGACCTGGGTACCAGAGATGGTGAGATCCAGAGAAAGCATTCTGAAGACCTGGGAAAATGAGAACAAGTTAGCATATTTTGAAAATTATTCTGTCCTGAGAAGGTGATCATGCGAATAAGGACTGTGACTAGAGTGGAGTCATGGAATAGGCTGATGTATATTCGGCGAGACAGTGGTACCTGCCTCACCTTAAAGGAGGTCACATATTTGAAAATACTCTGAATGTACGAAGCACTTATTACATTAAATTTGATAAGCACCAAACAAAAACAAACAAATTCTATTGTGTTTTTACCATGTACTAGTTCCAACATTAGGTATTGGAGTTACATAAAGTTTAGCAAATCGCCTTGTATATAAGTAGAACAAGTCTATTGCTTTTCAGCCAAGCATATAAATAAGACCCCAGGGAGTCAGCATAGTTGAAAGACAGATCTGTTAAAATTTTGAGTAGGAATAGAAAATGACAGCAGACTCAGTTTGTCAGGATATTCCTGC